AAGCTCTATCCCCATGGCGACCCCCCCTCGCCGCGACCCTGGAGACCCCAGACTCGCGATCCCCGTCACAAATGTTAGAGTTCCCCTGCAGCATAAGACCGAAAGCTAGAGGCTCGCTCCGCACCACCTCGACCTGGGACTTGAAGCGATCTCGAATGCGGCGGATCTCGCCGAGGCTCAAATCCAAATTGTGGACATCATAATGCCAGAGGCGGAAGCCCGAGGAAGTGTTCAAAAATCTCTAGGGCAGGGGCCCTCCCACAGACACCCGCATCAAGAAACGCGGAGGCCTCGACAGGGGCCGAGGAGAAGAGGGGGGGATTAAAGTGGCAATGCCGCCCGCGAACGAAACCCCACAAAGGAAGCCAAAACTTGGTGCGAAAACCCGCTCGCTGGGCAGCTTCCTGCGCGGCTGGAACACCACCGCGGGTCTCCTGAAACGCGAGCATTGTGGGGGGCGAGGAGGCGGGCGAGGCAGCGCGATCGCTCGGTACCTTGAGACACCGAGCACACGCATCAGGACGATAGTGACAGAGAGCCCGACAAGTCGCGAGCGTCGCCGAAGACGAACCACATTTAGCGTCGCCCACTCCACTGCACCTGCACTCTGGAGAATACGCGATCCGCCGCCGAGGCCAGCCGCGCGCGCTCCAGGCCGAGGTCCGACAGAGACGCCACGTTCCAGCGGACCCTCGGCGGGTCACTGGGGTGCACCTCCACCGTCGCCATGGGCCGCCACTGCATGGGGAGCGCCCCCGCCTCTCTGTCCACGAAGATGTCCTTCTGCAAGAGGTTCGCGAGGGGGTTCTTGAGCTGCTCGCAAACCTGCCCCCTGGCGATGTCCTGCTTGGTCTTGTCCACGCCCGCGAAGATCTTCACCGCTCGGTCGCTGGGGAGGACCGTCCGAAACCGTCGCCAACTGCCAGGGCCCTCGCGCAGGCAGGAGCGCGCATGGCGCACGCGCGCCTCTGCCGCGAGGCGCGTCTCGCCCCCGCCGACGCCGCAGCGCAGCGCGAAGTTCTTCGACAGCTGGGGGCCCTCAAAACGGCACTCCCGCCCCAGCTGGCAGTCGCGCGCCTCGAGCCACGGCTGCAGCGCGTCCGCCAGCCCGCTGACCGAGATGGCCTCCTTCGCGTCAATGCCGAAGAGGGCCGACCCCAGTCGGCCGACCTGGTCGCAGGGACCCGCGGCTCTGCACGAGCCAAGTCGAAGACCTTCTCCAGGTGCTCCAACCTCAAGACCAAGTCACTCTGATTGCTCTCCAAAGTTGCCACCTTCTCGTCTGTCGCCGGCAGCTGCGCCATGATCGGACCGAAGCGGGAAGCCACCCTCTTCTCGATGCCGTAGACCAGAGGCTCGGCGCTGCTCGGGATCGAGCGTGGTCAGACAAATTCAACTGAGGCCACCACTCCCTTAGTGTCGCCTTGAACTTGCTGCACTCCTCAGTCTGGATCTCGCGCGCGATCTGGGCAATCGCTGGCCGCATCCAAGGGTCAGCCGCTCCGCCAGCGCCACCGGCCATTCCATCAGCACCACGACGGGGCACAGGAGGAACTGGCAGCGGTTGCTGGGGGCCGACCTCCATCGCAGAGTGAGGTGTGGGGCAGCCACCGACTTCATCATCAGGGAAGAAGGTGCAGGCGAGGTCCAGCTGCCTGAGGATGCTGTCGTCGACCTTGCTGACAGCAGGAGCCTGCTCATCACCAGCGTCTGGACGACGCCCAGAATCATCACGCCGCGGACGAACACCTGCGCCACGACGGAAAGATGGAGGAGGAGACCGCGGCGGGGCGCGGGAGACCGAGTCCACGGCCGAGTCGGAATCATCCGTCTTCTTTGACCTCCTCGGGGTCGCGAGCACATTCTTTCCATCCTTTTCGACCTTCTTCTCCTCCTCACGCTTAGGCCTCCGCCTTGACGAATGAAGGAACTGGAAGCTCCACAGCTTACCCTCACCCTACAAGGCGATGGATGGGCAGAGAGTCGAGATGTTTTGGCGCCCCGTTCCAGATCTGGGCGGACAGGCCGAGCAGCGAAAGCCAGCCGCGGATTAGCAGTGTCCGTGCTCTGCCACGCGCAAACGGCATCTGGAGCCAAAATGGCTGCGGACGGGGAGGATGGGGAGGAGGAGGAGGAGGAGGAGGAGGAGGAGGAGGAGGAGGAGGTGGAGGAGGAGGACGGAGGAGGACGGAGGGCGGACGGAGGGACGAGGAGGAGGAGGAGGAGGAGGAGGAGGAGGAGGAGGAGGAGGAGGAGGAGGAGGAGGAGGAGGAGGAGGAGGAGGAGGAGGAGGAAGGGTCGCCTAAGCCCTTCGGAGAAACCCTGCAGTCCGGAGCTCTGGGGGTCGACGATATGACAAACAAGTCACGGCGTCGGGGGGGGCTGGGCCTGGCGGCACATCGATTTAAGGGAAGGCCCTCGGAGACGGGTCGGGCGTGCTGCTGAGGCAGGGCCTCCTCAGAGGCCTCCGGCGCCCGTTCCGAGGAGGCCTCTGTGTTTTTGCTGGAAAAGTGTTGCCTGTGTTTGTAATTGTTGTTGTTCCTGTTGCTGCTGTTGCTGTTGTTGTTGTTGCTGCTGCTGCTGTTGTTGTTGCTGTTGTTGTTGTTGTTGCTGTTGTTGTTGGTGGTGGTGGCGTTGTCGTTGTTGCAGTTGTTGAACTCTCACTACTGAAGAATAACTATTGTTGATCCCCCTCCGGTGCACATGGTACTTTTCGATTGAAGTGCCCCTCCCGGCGCTCGCACCCTGTTATCCTGCTTCTTTTTTCAAATACATTCTGAATTTAATATTTTTCCTCAAACTGTGCCCCAGGCCCCCCGCGTACAACAACAAAGGCTCCCGCTTGATACGTCCTCGAAATTTACTCCAGTCCCCCCTTCCCGCTTGGGACTTCCTCGCGATTTACTCAAGAATCGCGCTCACGCCCGCGATTTCCTTGCAATTTACTCAGGCGCCACGCTCGTTCAATTCAGGAATCGCGCGTTCGCTGGGGACTTCTTCAAATTTACTTAGGTATCGCTCTCTCGCTGGGAACTTCCTGGCTAATCGCGCAGAGCTCACGATCGATCCGCCCGCTCGCCCCGCCCGTCAGGTCATGCCCTTCGTGGCCCATGCTCGCTCGCGCCTTTCGTGGTCCCTCTCCTTGTAGCCCAGTCGCTGCCCTTCGTGGCCCCGATGCTGCCCTCAGTGGCCCTTCGCTGCCATTTGTGGCCCATATATATATATATATATATATATATATATATATATGTGTATATGTATATGTATATGTATATGTATATAATATATATATATATATATATATATATATATATATATATGTATATATGTATGTATATGTGTATATATATACATACATATACGCCCGACGTGGCCCCCAGCCGCTCGTGCCCTCAGTGTTCCCATTGCTGCCCTTCGTGGCCCCGCTGCTGCCCTCAATGGCCCCCTCGCTGCCCTCTGCTGCCCATACATACGCCCTTCTTGGCCCCCAGTCGCTCGTGCCCTGAGTGGCCCCATTGCTGCCATTCGTGGCCCCAGTGTAGCCCCGTGTGCTCTCTCGGCCTCTCTCTCTCTTTCTTCCCTTTTTTGTGTTCTCTCTCTCTCTCTCTCTCTCATTTCTGATTCCTCGTGCGCTTTTAAGCGCTGCGCCCAACACACGTGGCAGGTCAGGAAGATGTACCCCCCAGAAGGGGGTACGATCGAAGAAGAAGACGGCGGGTATCGGGGGTTTGGGATATACGTGGCGAGGTACGCGCGATCAGGTAAGAGCGAACAGTCTTCAAAACTGGGCCCCTGGCCCCCAGGTTACAACAACAACGGCTACCGCCTGAGACGTCCTTACAATTTAGCCAGGAGCCCCGCTCCCGCCCGAGACTTCCTCGCATTTTATTCAGGAATCGCGCTCTCGATTGGGACTTCCTTACAATGTATTCAGGAATCGCTCTCCCGGCGTTCTGGAGTCGCGCTCTCGCTGGAGATTTGCTTGCAACTTACTGAAGAATGGCCTTGCGTTGGAATTTCCTGCAATTTGCCCAAGCGCCGCGCTTCCGACACCCAGGCACCCAGGAGTCGCGCCCGTTGTGGCCCCATGTGCGTGCCATTCGTGGCCCCGCTGTCGCCATTTGTGTTTCCCCTCATTGTCCTACGTGGCCCAGTTGCTACCATCAGTGGCCCCATAGTTGCCGTCTGTGGCCCCGCATTATCTGCAGTTCGTGGCCCCCGCTCGTTCGCGCTCTTAGTGGCCCCATACGCATTCCATTCGTGTCCCCGCTGTCGCCCTGCCTGGCCTACTTCGTGCCCTTCGTGGCCCTGCTGTCGTTCTCTCTCGCTCTCGCTTTCGCTCGTCGTCGCCGTCGTCGTCGTCGCCGTCGTCTTCGACGTCGTCGTCGTCGTCGTCGTCGTCGTGGTCGGTCCCCTGTCCGTCCCTCTTGGGGTCGGGTCGACGGTCCGCGGCCGCCCCGCCGATCAGCGGTGCCGCTGGCCAGGCCGACGGTCCGCGGCCGCCCGGCCGCTGGTCGGGGCCCGGCCTGTAGGGAAGAAAAGCATACCCCCAGAAGAGGTTCGATCGAAGACGAAGAGGGCGGGTATCGAGGGTTTGGGAAATACGCGTTATTGGACACTCCAGCATATAAGGGCGAACAGTATTTAAATGATTGTTGTCGGTGCTGCTGTTGTTGTTGTTGTTGCTGTTGCTGTTGCTGTTGCTGTTGCTGGTGCTGTTGCTGTTGTTGTTGTTGTTGTTGCTGTTGCTGTTGCTGTTGCTGTTGTTGTTGTAGATGTTGTTGTTGTTGTTGTGATTGTTGTTGTTGTTGTTATTGTTGTGGTTGTTGTTGTTGTTGTTGCTGTTGCTGTTGCTGTTGTTGCTGTTGTTGTTATTGGTGGTGTTCTTGGCGTTGTTGCTGTTGCTGTTGCTGCTGTTGTCGCTGCTGTCCGACGGCCGCGCCCCCTCGCGAACCCCCACCTGCGAAGGCGTACCTCCAGGTAGCGGGCCGTGCCCTTTTCCTGCCCCAGGCAGCGCACGGCAAGACGCCTCGGGGCTGTGCCGTGCTGCGGGGCAGCAGCTCCGCATCCGAGTGGCGGCGCCGGCCCACGCGCCGAGCCTGCAGCGCTTCGTGGCGCAGGCGCTGCGCGGCGGCAGGCGACCTGCCGCGGCACGCGCGGCGGGCCGCCCCTGAGCATGATGGGCCGATGTTCCATCACCACTACCATAGGTAGGAGGAGGAGGAGGAGGAGGAGGAGGAGGAGGAGGAGGAGGAGGAGGGCGAGAAGGAGGAGGAGGAGGAGGACGACGACGAGAAGGAGGAGAAGGAGGAGGAGGAGGAGGAGAACCTCCCCATCCTCCCTCCGCCCCCGTCATGCCTGTGGCAGCGGTTGTGGAAGACTGGCCCATCAAAGCAAGCACGTCGGCAAAGGTGCAGCATTGTGTACCAAACGTCTTCAAACGTCCTCCTGCTCTCGGGGAAGACTCCACGAACCACCGGGCGGCGCGCCGGGGGGGAACGATAGGGGGGCAGGCCTCCACCCTCATCCTCCCTCCTCTATCCCTCTTCCCTCCTCTTGCCCTCCTGCATCCCCCCTCCCTCCTATGTCCCTCCTCCCCCTCCTCCTTCCTCCCTCCTCTATCCCTCCTCCCTCCTTTTATCTCTCCTCCCTCATCCTCTTGCCCTCCTGTCCCTCCTCCCTCCCCTGTCCCTCCTCCATCTTGCCCTCCTGCATCCTCCCCCCCTCCTTCCTGGTTTCCGTCCTTCTTTGCGTCTTTCCTCCTCCAAGGTGTCGCGGCCCGAGATATGGGGTGGCCAGCAGGCGGGCCCGCGCGGAGGAGCAGCTGGCCGAGGTGTCCGGCGCCCGTCGGCCCAGAGAGCGGGGCGTCGGCGGGGCTTCTCGGCAGCCCGCCGGCCTTCCGACAAGTCCCCAGTGTGGCCTCGGAGGAAGCGCCGAAGCGCAGAGAGCTGCTCGGCAGGCCGGAGGCTCTCCGAGCCTTTTGCGGAGCGGGTGCGCGCCAGCACGGATCAGCAGTCTCGGGATATGTCGAGGGGTGAACAGCGCTGGACCTAAACGTTGTTTTCCGTGCTGTTTCTGTTCTGCGTTTCGTTGCGCTCTTCCTGTTGTCCTGTACTTCCCTCCCAAAGCGAAAAAGAAAGCACCGCCGACGTCCAGCACAACAGCGTTTAGGCCCAGCCCTGCCGGGGAGAGCGCCCCCCCGAAACATGGCGCCTGAGCCGACCGCTTCGGCGACGGGGCGCGCCGGTTCTGAACGGGAGCGGGACTCGCCGCTAATCCACGTTGCCTTGTGATCTACGTTCGCGCTCCACCCTCCTCGTGCCCCTCCGACTACCCCCGATCCTCATCATGCCCCTCATCCACATTGTCACCCCACCACATGCCAGGTCATGTCGTTCCTCGTCGTCCGCCTTAGCCGGATGAGTTCCCCCATCGTCCACATGCCCGCCCTCCTCCTATCCTCTACGCCCTAATGCAGATAATCCCCCCTCCTCCTCCTTCTGCCCTCCCCGCCTCCCTCGTTCTCGCGATGCTGACACCGATGTTGCAGCTCGTCCTGGGCCCATTTCCTTCCTTCTACCCTGTCCCATTCATTCCCGGGCCCCTTCGCCACCTCTCCTATCGGACCCCTTCCCTCCCATAGCCCACCATCTACCCCCCCCCCGCGCTTTTGCACTCCCAGACGACGGCCCCCTCCTGGACCAGCTGGGATATCCGCGGAAGCTCCCACCCAGTGACCACTCCGGCGAGCGGCGCGCAACACATGCACAGTTGGAGGCGCGAGCTGTGTATTTCGACCGCGCGCGACGCCCCCCTGAACCAGCCGAAAGAGGAACGTGAAACTTACCGCCCAATCAGCACCACCCGCGAGGGGTACTCTCTGAATACACAGATGGGAACAAGACCTGTGTACACAGATCACACCACGATCTGTGTAAACACTTGACCCTCGCGCGAAAATTCACCGTTGAAGACACCAGCTCTGTACACAGACCACGCCTTGATCTGTGCATATCGAAAAGGTAAACGCTCGCCACCTCGAGAGTACCCAGACTTCGTCAACCCAGAACCGAGGTCCACATGCCCAGCTACGGGGGAATGCAAATACACACTTCCCCGGCCCAGTCGCCCCCGACGGAGCTGCAAATACACGCTTCCCTGGCCCAGGGCGGCCACGGTGAAATGCGGCACCAAAGCGGCCCCCAACGGCCCGAGGACGTCCCAAAATGGCCCCGAGGGACCCCAAAAAAGGCCGCGCAGCAGCCGGGGAAGACGAGAGGTGTCACATGTCATGGGCCAGTCAAAAATCCACGTGTGGCCATACAGACCGCTACGCTGGCATGGGTGCGGACCTTGCCACAGGCACATATACATTTACATGTTAGCGATACAACTGTGCTTGGCGGCCGTGCTGCCTGTGTCTAAATTGCGCCCCGAACGCTTGCATTGGCAATCCCCTACGTTTGGTTGCGCCGCTATGCTCGGATATCGAAAAAGCGGTATACAGCTGACACGGGCACGCGGCACCAGGGCCTTCACTTCTTCCCTTCTCCGAACAAGGACTGAAGACGAGGTAGGACGACGGACGGTGAACATGGAGGCAAAGAGGAATGAGGAATAGTCGGGGAGGTGGAAAGGGGCGCTCTCCCGCCCCAGCCGCGGACGCTTTCGACACCATCCAAGGGGGGGAAGAAAGGAGGGGGACGGAGCAAGGGCGAGGACGACGACGGGAAGCAAACCGTCCTCGGTCCGCATATAGCCATATGCTTGCGATTTGGGTGCGCGCATTTTTTCGAAGCACGTCAAGCCCGACCCATATTGAATTCACTAATCCCTCCAAACTGTGAAAACACTCTGTCCTCTTTACCCCCTCCTATACAACTGCCTCGGAACAGAGGGGCAGTGATTTCCAACTGCCCTCCTTCCCTGGTGAGGGGCAATGACAGGGGGGGCGGGGGGGGACAGGCTCAGGGGGGGAGGGAACATCGACCCGAAATCGATGATACAACGCCGATGGATCGGCGATTGGCCCCCGACAGCGAATCCGCACGGTCCTGGGCCTAGGTGGGCCATCGGGCCCCTGTCGGCGATCCATGGGCGACTGAAGGCCGGTGCGTCTCCCCTGAGCGTTACCCCCCCCCCCAAAACTCCGCGGCGCGCAGAGGGGGGGGGGGCAGGGGGAGCGGGGAAGGCTCCTCAGAAAGAGGCTGCCTTCTCAGAGGGCGCCAGCCCTACATCTGCAGACGAGGCCCGCGCCTTCCAAGATGCAGCCTCCCGCTAGGAAGCCTTCCCCCCTCCCCCTGCCCCCCCCCCCTTGGCGCGTGGCCGACGAGCGTTGCCCCCGGCCCGGGCGCGCCGTCCATCGGCGGAGGCGCACTCCAAATCCCTTAGCAATCGTCCCTCGGGCCGGGCGAAAGGGGGCGATAGCAAAGGGGGGGGTTGAGAATCAGCTCACGTAGCTAACTTTACCGGCGCCTCCCGGCGCCGGTAGGCGCCCATGTATCGAGGAATGGGCCCGGCGGCGGGGCCGAAACCAGCTGCATGCAGCAGATTTCGTAACCCCCCCTTTCCCAACCCCCCCCTTTCGCCCGACCCGAGTCCCCCGGGTCCAGTTCTTTCAGGCGTCTTTTTTGTAACTGGGGGTCCGGTTCATCAGGGAGCTTTCGTTGGCTTGGAGCTGACGGGGTCCGGTGTAGGGCGCCCCGTCGAAGAGGGGGGGTCCGGAATATTAGGTCGCGCTTGGAGGGGGTCCGGTTTTTTGGGGGGGGGGTCATAAGGGATTTGGAATACCTCGACGGCCGGGCCCCCGTCCAGGCCTTCGGCCCGTGGCGCCGCTCGAGCAGCGCGCGGGGCCGCCCCTCCCGACGGCCCAGCGCGTGGCCGCCTGCGCGAGGCCGCCTCGCGTGCCCCAGGCCGGTCAAGGGGGCGAGGAAGGCGCGCGTGGGCAGCTGGCGCCGCGCACCAAAGGGGGGGGGGAGCGGCGCGCAGACGGTGGGCCTCGCGAGAGTTGAGCAGGGACTGACCGTCCCGGCATTCCTGCAGGCCTACCACGGCATGCTCTTGGAACCCAGACATGTTCTAAGAACAGAAGCGATGTTCTTAGAACATTAAGCCCGATCTGTTAAAACACCACAGTCTCAGCCAGAATTGTTCTAAGAACCTTTCGCGCAGACCGCAACAGGTTCTTAGAACAGTCTTGGGTTTGCTTATAGGCGAGCCAGGACGATTCGCAACTGCTTGAGAGAGAAGGCAAGGCCTTCATGGAGGCCATCCCAGCTTCAAGGGAGCCTTGTCGGGAGCCTCCCCATGCCCTTCTGGGGAGACTCCCGCCTTCTAAGAGGCACCCCGCAAGCTCAGGAGTTCCCCTCTCGCGCCCCGCCCTCTTGTGCGCGCCGCCAAGGCAGCATGGGGCGTGGACAGCGCGCGCGAAGCCGGCGCCCAGCGATCTGTAAGGGTTATCGCGGGGGGCCAGACGCGCGGAAGGGGCACGGCCCCGCAGAGAGGGAGGGGACAGGAGCTAAGGATTAGGCCGGGCATGCCCCCCTACAGGCGGATTTAAACAGAAGAACAGGAAGAGAGTCACACATCTTTTTCTACTGGCCAAGTATAGCCGAAAAATCATCCCCGGATTTTTTCTCACATGTTCTATATTCCCCATGTAGAAGGACATGCCTGGCTTAAAGCAAGGAAGAACGACACCACCACGGCCAAGGCCGAGGGTCAGAAGAGGAGCTTTTCCTCCTGGAGGTTGTGGCCCCCGTCCCGCGGCGACCTCCGCTCGAGAGGCATCTGCGACCTCCAGCCTGGGGGGGGCGGCGACGTGGACCTTCCCGCCGGCAGTGGGTTGCTTGGCGGTGGTTGTCGTCTCTCCTTCCTCCCCAGACCCCCATCGAGTTGTCAAGAAAATCACGACGGGAGGTCTTTCGCCATTCTCGGCCTCTCGGGGGGCCCCCACCGGGCCTCGGGACCGTCAGAAAACGACTGAGGATGAAAAGCTGGT